TTGGAGCCGATCACGGCGACGCCGTCGACGTAGGCGGCGGCGACGGTCTCGCTCTCGAGGTCGGGAATCACCTTCCTCTCGTGGACGAGCCTGTGGTCACCGATGCCTACCGTCCTCAGCATACCCTCAACGGCGTGCTGGCAGAAGAACAAGCTCCAGTTCCAGCCCATGGGCAGCACCTTCAGACAAGGCGAACACCTGCGGCCGACGACGCCGTCGAGTGTGCCGCTCGGCAGCACGTTGGCAAGAGCACCGCGATCGATACTCGGAAGAACCATCAGCTCGCTCAGACCAGGCGGTGCAAGGAAGCGATAGAAGGCTGCCTCGATGTCACACTGACCGAGGAAGAGGCTGCTGTCGGTCCCGAGCCGTAGGCTCTGCCAGCTGCCTGCCGTCGGCAGCTCGGCGACGTCGGGGTCATAAAACATACGATTGACACGCCGGGTGTCCAGAACCATCCGCTGCTGGCCGCTCCCGTCCCGCTTGGCGACGAAGAACGGCGCGAGCGCGTGCTTGCGCTCGCTGGTGAATTCGATCATGCCCGCATTGAACAAATCGTGCAAAAAACTGGCGTATAGCTTCGGCGAGCTCTTCAACCTGGCGTCGAAGTGAGGTGGCACATTGGCAAGCCACTCCTTACGAGGGCGCAAGAGATGCTTCTCCCAGTCCTGCCACAAGTCGCGCACGGACTCCGACAACAGGTAGGCGGGCTCGCACTTCCTGGAGTCCGAAGGCACCGCGACGCTCCCTTCGGTGAACAGAACCGCTTTCGCTGGGGACATGTCGCACCCAGGAGAACAACCACGCAGCTCAGTGTAGGCCGCCGTGGGACTGACATCAGGAGGCCCGAACTCCAACAGGTGGCCGTAGAGCGACTCGATGCCAGTGAGCTGCGCCGCCGATAGCTTGTCGAACCCGTCGCCGCCCAGGCGCCCGTTGAGGAAGTTGAGCGCCGCGACGACCTCGCAGGTCCACAGCTCGACGGCCAGCTGCTGGCGGCCCCGACTCCGCCGACCTCGGGAATGTGAAAAACATGCATTGTGGTTGCGCCGCTCGAAGTGCGCAGTCGCCAGGTCCAGCGGGATCGGGAGGATGTCCCGCTGGACCACCATGATCGTGAAGTGGAAGGGAGCGCCAGCCCCCCTCCCCGCCAGCGGCGGCACCTCCACGGCCCTTTCCCTTAGGGTCCGGCTTGGGTCCACCCGCCAACTGCTTCTTCAACTTCTCGATCTCCGACTTCTGCCGATCGACGGTGCTCTGCATCCCTGAGAGACGCGCCCGCCCGTCACCGCCGCCGCCACCACCGTGTGCGTCGTCCCCCCGCGAGGCCATCCGCTCCTCCTTCAGCTTCCGCCGCTCCTTGAGGACGAGGCTCTCCTTGTGGAGCTCGTCCGTCACGAACGCGAGCAGCTTCGGCGAGATGCAGACCAGCCCGCGGGTCTCGCCCGTCCCGAGGTACAGGTGCGAGTCCTCGAGCAGCTCGTCACCTCGGGACGTCGTGAGAATCCTCTCGCGATGGCGGTACTCGGCCATCTGGAGTCGGCGGCACACCAGCTCCGCACACGACAGCTCGCTGCCATTGAGCTGATCGTACGTCAGCAGCAGGTGCATGATGCGGCAGCAGAGCTCGTGGACGGAGACGTCCTGGTCCGAGGATGACAGCCCCGTCTCGGCCTTGAACTTGGCGTGCCGAGATCTGAATGTCACGTCATTCTCTCGCACGAACTCACACACCCACTTCACGGTGCGGGGCCCACTGATCGGGAAAAAGTCCCAGTGCGTCTCGGTGAGCTCCGCCACGGCCTCACGCATCCCGAGGAAACGCTCCGTGGCGTTGGCCCGCAGCGCGAGCACGCGCGCGTCGAGCTCGTCGCCACCGTCAGGAGGGAGAGCCCGCACCAACATCGTGCGGCCCCCCTTCATCGCCATGCCGAACCCCGACGCGACCACGAAGGCGTCGAGATCCTCGTCGGGCAGCAGCCCCCTCCCCCCACCGTCGCTCGAGGCGATGCAGCGCCAACGCGACGGCGAGGGGTCAGGGAGGCGTCCGCGGCCGAGGCCCCACTCACTCGGAATCTCCGCCGAGGCCAAGGCCGATCCTGAAGGCGGTCTCGCCGCCGCTGGCCTCGCCTCCGCCTCGGGCTCCTCGGGGGCTCCAGCCGACACCACCGCCGTCTCCAGCACCTCGTCGAGCGATTGCCCCAAGACGAACCGCAACTGCAGCGCGAAGGCCGCGGGGCTCATGACCCAGTCCCTGCCGTACGTGCCGACGCCCACCGGGTTGGCCCCTTCTCTGTTGAGCAGCTGCCTCCGATCCCTCATGTCGTACGGCACGATGATGCGCAGCGCCTGGACCGTCAGCTCGTGAGGGTAGACGTCTCCGTCGGGCGTCGCCATATACCACAACCTCCCGTCCTCCTCGGCTTTCTCGCTCGGAGCTAGACTCGTCACTTCCTGATAGTCGGTCGGCGTGCACGGCGCGACGGCGACGCGAGCTTGCAGGCTCTCGCCACCGCGCCACTGGATGTCGAACCGCTGTCCTGCACGAACTTGGAACGGCATAGCGTCCAATGAACAACCCGACGAGGAACGATGCGACGGAGAGCAGAGCCGCGCCCCACTTCAGCGAGCCGACCAAGCCGTACGCGACCGCACACTCGGTCGCGTTGCCGAGGGTGCTCTCCACGATACCCCAGGCCTTGTCAGACACGATCCAGGAGCCGACGCGGGCGAGGCCGAACGCCACGGCGGACAGAGGCATGAAGCGGCCGCTGTCTTTGTTTGCGCTTGAATGGTTGCGGAGCAAGAACGGCCATGGGACGGATCAAACTCAGACCAGGACGACACAAACATCTGGCTATGATGATGATGATGATGATGATGATGATGATGATGATGATGATGATGATGATGATGATGATGATGATGATGATGATGATGATGATGATGATGATGATGATGATGAGGCGGAGGAGGAGGAGCCAGAGGAGCAGAGGAGGAATTCCCCATCCTCCCCCATCCCCCGGTGAGGGACACTTGCCCATTCAGGTGTGGGGGACCCGTTTCTCCCCTGAGTGTCTGGGCGGGCCCCGCTCCCCGATCTGCACGTCGGCCATGCGCTTCGGCCCCGTCTCGCCGATCACCACCGCGTCGGCCGGGAAGCAGACGCCCCTGTGCCTCGGCTCTGGGCGCCGCTCCTCCTACGCCTGTTCCCTCCTCCTCCTCCTCCTGCTCCTCCAGGTCTGCCTCCTCCAATCTCCTCCTCCCCGTATCACCTTAAGTCCTCTCCCCTGCTTCCTCGTCCATATCCTCCTTCCCCCTCTTCCTCCCTTCTCCTCCTCCCTCCTCCCTCCTCCTTCCTCCTCCTCACTCCTCCCCCTCCCCGTCCTCCTCCCTCCTCCTCGTCCCTCCTACCTCCTCGTCTCCTTCCCCCCTCTCCCCTCCCTCCCCTCCTCTTCCTCGCCCTCCACCTTATCCTCCAATTTTCCTCCCTCGTGATTTTCTCCTCCTCCACCTCCTCTTCCTTCTTGTTCTCCTCCATTCCTTGTCCATTCCTTGCCCTTATACAATATTTCTCCCTGTGGCACCCCGGGGCCAGTTTTGAGGGCGGGCCTGAGTCTGGATCACAAGTTACGACTCTGAGGCTTAAGCGTTGGCAACCATTTCACAGATGGAGGGCGGGTCGTTTTCAAAATGTGGTTCTCGCCTTACCACAGCGCACATTCGATATAAACATGTGCAAGAGCTTCACGGGTTGGGAGCGAATGGTTTTCAACATGTGGTTCCCGTCTTAGCGCCGCGCGCAGTCCTGTTAAACCTGTGCAATAGCTTCACGGATTGAAGGCGGGTGGTTTTCAAAAGGATGTTCCCGCCAGGGGGCCGCGCACATCATGTTTAAAAGTGTGCGCGAGTTTCCCAAATGGGGGGCGGGTCGTTTTCAAAATGTGGTTATCGCTTTAGCGCCGCGCACATTCGTGTTAAAATGTGCAAAACCTTCACGGATTGAGGGCGGCCCCTTTTCAAAATGTGGTTCTCGCCGTAGCGCCGCGCACATTCGTTTTCACACGTTGCAAGAGCTTCACAGCATGATCAACGTGCGGCAATTACGTCGATTCGCGGCGCAGCAGCTACGTTGATTCGCGGCGTTGCAGTCCCAGAAATGACATTCTGGCACGATTCAGGATCGTCAAGACGCAACAGTCAGGTTGATCCGTGGCGCTGGAATCCCGAGATCAAAATTTTGGCGTGCTTCACGGTCTTCAAACGGATGTCCCCCCAATGGAAATGAGCCGATGTAACGGGCCCATGAAGAGGGAGCCTGGAGGGAGGGTTTATTCTAACATCGTTGATGAATCTTGGGTTCACACTGGTCCTCCTCCTCCTCCTCCTTTTCCTCCTCCTCCGCCCTGCTCCGCCATCCTCTGCCCTTTTCCGCTCTCCTCCGCCCTTTTCCTTTTCCTGCTCCTGTTCCTGCTGCTCCTCCTCCTCATCCTCCCCCTCCTCCTCCTCCCCCGCCCTCCCCCCTCCATCCACCCCTACCTCCCTCCTTCCCGCCCTCCCAGCTCCCTCCCCTTCGTCCGTTCATCCCTCTCCTCTCCTTATCCCTCCTCCTCCTCCTCCTCCTCCTCCTCCTCCTCCTCCTCCTCCTCCTCCTCCTCCTCCCCCTGCAAAACCCACGCGCACCTGAATACCTCCTGGTGCTCAATCTTCTCACGGATGACCGATTTTCCCGTGGAGCCTATTCTGAACCTGCGCTCGCCCCGGGGCGCTGGCTCCCTGAAAGGCCTGATGCAGATTGGCCTGCCCGGGGGCACGCGCGCGGGCATGTGCACACACGGGGCGACAGGCGCATTGCACTGAAATCCACATGCCCTACAAAATCTCGTTGCCTGTTGCACGCCTCCTCTCCCTCGCACTCCTGGGTCCTCGACAACGCGGCGCTGAGGTCTCTGGGCCGCGTAGCTGCTGCTCGGCTTCCAACGCGGTCATCTCCAGGCCGAGAGCCCCCTCATCATCCTCAGCGAGGCATCGCGCTGTTCCGGATAGTTCGACATCTTCTCGATGAATGCGCGCGCGGCGCACGCGAGGGCCCCCTGGTAGGACGGGTCCTCCTCTGGGAGCGTCGGGCGCTCGAGCTTAATGAAGCCGGCCCCCGCCTCCTTCTTCGCGGAACTCACCATCGTTCCCGTCAGCTTCACGAGGGAAGCGCATGACTGGCCGCAGGTGCTCAGTGCCGGAGGGCATCTCCATCTTGCACGTCGATCCGCTCTCGAACTGGTCGTAGTAGCTGCGCTCCAGTTCGATCATCTGGCTGACTATCGCGTCCTCGATGGCTGCCGGGCACTACGCCTGAACGCAGTTCGAACTGTTGTGGCATGAGGGCGTCACCTTCATGTGTCGGTTCGATCTCAGGCCGCTGTCAATCACGCCAACTGACACCTTGACCGCCATTTTGCGGTTTGCCGCCGCACAGCTCACCAGCTCCGGGCGGGCTGTCTCTGCATCGGTCAGGTTCTGCAAGAGACTGCGCACAGTACGAGGATCACCATTCGCGGCGAATCCAACCATCAGGGCTTCCGAAACATTGGCAACTGGATATGGGGCGACATGGGCAGGATCGCTCGCCGAAGCCTCTCGACGGATACGACGACGATCGTGCTCTGCTGCTGCTTCCTCCAAGGTCGTCGGCGCATCCGCCAGCTGATGCGCTCCAGATCTGATGCAGGCCCTCAATCGGTGGCGGGCCTCGGCTTTCTCCTACGCCAGGGCATCGGCCACCATCAGGGACGTAGGCTCCCGCCTCAGAAAGCCCCCGAACCTCTGAAGGGCCTGGCGAGCAATCGTGAGCTCCGCGGCGCATCTCCTATTCTCAAGAGCCCCAGGAGAGCCTATCTTATTGATGTGGTCGCACGCTGACTTAGCATCTATGATCACGATGGCCTCGAAGCGTTTCGGGAACTCCTACCTAGACTCCAGAATAAACTCAGGACATAGACAACCTGCCATACAGCACATAGTCCACTCCATATGTCCCAGACCATCGGCCAGCGCAGAGGCCCCCCCACCGAGGGACGATCGCGTGGCTCGTTTGAGACGGTAGCTGCGCCATATCGTCGGATTCCACGCTGATCCCCCCCCCCGTTGCATAGCCGGTGTGGTCACACAGATTACATGACCACCCTGGGTCTTCTTGAGACCCTCGTTCCCCCCCTTGGCAAAGTCCGCGTGGGTCGTCATCCTGAGATCCTCGAGAGGAATCGAGAAGTATCGAATCGCGAGGTCCCTATGTTGAAGTGCACGGCGTACTGGCATGGTGGCATCTTTAAATTCCATCGCAGTCGGATGCGGCAGTAACTGCTGGTTATTGCTCACCTGGCAAGACATATCAGGCCTCGACTGACCTACCTGCCAGCCAGATTGCCAGCTTGGTTCGCTGAAGTCACTGCAGGCTTCTCCTTAGGCAGTGCCATGCTCTCATTCACGGCGTGACGTTTCAGCTTGACAACTTTCATGGTTTCTGCATGCGCTCTTAGCCGTCCGAAAGCTGCTGTTACCAAGACCGCGTAAATTCCCCGGAGCCGTCTCCATTTTCTCCACGGGAGCGGTTGTCTCAGTTTAGCGATAGCTGTATCCCACCTGTCTCCTCGACCTCCTCCCACCGCATCGTCCACATGTATCGCCATCACACCGCAGAGAGATCCCGGTTGGTCCTCGAACAGACCCGATCGGCACACACCGAGGCCTCGCGGGCACTGCATGTCCGGCCAGAACGGGCTCGAACATCGTAAACAGACACGGATCAAGAGGATGGGCTACGAAGCGGATCTCCTCAGCGTGACGCTTAACCGTCGAGAACCATCGTTGTGGCTGATCCACGCCACCGTAGCCGTTCACAAGCTCGCACAGTTGGTCTGGATGGTGCTCCGTTGGTGCATGGTCCCTGGGAACCGTCACAAACACTGGTCCGTTCGGTCGTTATTCTGGATCGGCTTGCAAGAGAGCCCCATCAGATGTCTCCCAAGACCAACGGAACGCAGCAGAGGCCAGCAGCTGCAAGACGGTCGCCTTTCATGTCGCAGATAATGTAGGGCTCTGCGCCTTGCCAGCCCTGGCCATCTCAAGCGCGTCGGGATATTTGAAAACTTGCGCCGCTAGACTACATCGCAACTCCGTGCTCCAGTCATCCTCGGTCATCAAGAGTCAGCGCGGGTCGAGACGGCAGGACTCGGTCTGGAACCTCAGGACGAAGGCGACGAGATTCCTCGACCGAGCGAGCCTTCCATGCCTTCGGATCGACGATGAGCTTCCGAAATTCCTTCTGGCACGCCTCCTCCATCTGACCCCTCCTCCGTCTGCCACCTGAGATCCTTCTCACGTTCCTCCATCCTTCCTCGAGCGAGAAGAGCCTCGCTCTCGGGCGCTGCCAGGGTCGGAACCTCCTCATCTCCTCCGCAGGTAACTGCTTCACAGTCGAACAGTGGAACCACACTGCTGGAGTCGGAGGGTGGAGGTAGTTGGGAGCTGGAGTCCGAGAGACCAGGAGGCGCATCCAGGCGCGGCTGCTTGAAAGTCCGAAGTTCTATCGGCCCCTCAGCGCTGCGCACCAGATGGGCCCTTTGTCCCAAGGGGAACTCGTCGGGGCCCCGTCGGATGCTCTGGAGACCCCGCAGGCACATGGTAGGGATGTGGAAATGGAAACCTCGTAGGAGCCGTCGCTGGAGTCGGATCGCTCGGTTGGGTCGGCGGAATCGGCGGCGTCGA